GGCAGCCGAACACCAGTCACGCCAGCGGGAACGACTGTTCACGCGGGAGACCGTGATCGGCGATGAGGCCGCACATTGGGTGGAAGTGACATCTGCAGACGGGGCCCCGGAGAATGAGAAAGGGCTGTCAGCCCTTGCGCAGGTCTCCCACGACCTCGTGKCCACCTGCGCTCTGCAGCAGGAGGAAATCCTTCACCTGCAGCAGACAGTGGACCAGATGCTCGCACGACTGCAGGCGTTGGAGAAACAGCCAGCTGCTGTAGCAGCCGCAGGGCCTTTCACCCTTACCACCCGTGTGCAAGTTTTGGAGGATGACGTCAGCAACATCAAGCGTGTGCATCAGGACCTCCGGACGTCGCAGCAAGCAACGAACTTGCAGTTGGAGACGCAGGTCCAGGCTGCTGCCACCGTGACGCCCGCCGGCGCATCCTCCCGGCGCCCACCCAAGCTGGATGACATTCCCGTCTTCTGCGATCAGTCCAAGACGGAACCGATCCCGTGGTGGCGCCAGTTTACTCTCAGGCTCGACATGCACCATGTCCCGAACAACGATCGACATCCGTGCTTGTACCACCGATCTGGTGGTGCGTGTCAAGCATGGCTGGACAACATCTTGACCAGCCACGGCGTAGCAGTGTCGGAATTGCACACCAAGCTCACTTGGCAGGAGTTGACCGACGCCTGGCACAAGCGATTCCAAGTGGAGCCRCCCGACCTGCAAGCGATGGACAAGCTSAACAAGCTCCATCAGAACACGCTGCTCAGTCAGGACTGGATTACCGAGTTCCAAAGACTCGCCTCCACACCTGACCTGYCGCTCGCATTCCGCGCCATCAAGCACTTGTTTATCATGCGCTCGTGTCCAACTCTGCAAAACGCGCTGACGCAGATTGCAGAGACACTCGACACATCTGACAAGCTTTTCAGCACAGCGTCACGGATCATTYTCACGAATATCGAAGCCCGCAACGCCGACCGATCTTCCTCGACGACGAGCGGCACCCAGCCCAAGCCAAAGGTGGCTTGCATTACTTCTACCGAGGCTGCAACACCAAACGAGGGTGAAGTGTTGGCAGCTGMCCRGGATGGTGGCCGGCCGCGCAACAAYCACGGCCGCGAYAAGACGAAGACTCAGTCCACCTCTACACCGAGCACCGGATCAGCCGCCGACGAACCTTGGGCACAATACGGACTCTCGGCGAATTCTTATCGCACGAGACTCAAGTACCGTTACTGCCTTTGGTGCAACAGCACCATCCACGATGCTGCACATTGCCCTACCAAAGGGAAACCCCGTCAGGGAAAGTAGGCGCCGCTGAGGGTGACTCGACACCTCCCTCGACGCCATCGGAAGCGGTTGTGCGCACGACCGACCTTTCTTCCGAGGCATATGCGGATGTCGGTAGTCTTCCACTTTCGTTCGAAGACTTTGCTGCCCGGCTCGTTCCTTCACTGGATGCTTCTACAGGACAAGATACATGTGCGGCTTTCTCACCGTCCGAAGGTTCTTCGGCCAGTTGGTCTTCATCAAGGGATTCGGCAATCGTGTTCAACGAGGAGGCTTTGGACCCGCTCACGCCCGAGGACTTCGCTTGGATTCCTCTCCCTACGACGGGCAACCTTCCGGGGCCGCAAAGYGCAGCCCTATGCGCCCTCTTACACSAGTATCTTTCCTTCCATGCACCACCAACTTCGCCGACGGTAGACGAAGTCGCGGTGGGGGACATGCTTGGCTACGTTGCCAAGGTGGCCCGCGAGTTTGTCTCGCAACGGTACGAAGAAAACAACGCACCGTTGCTCTACATTCGCTTTCAGATTGGGCAAGCGGCCTGCAACGCCTTGCTAGATTGCGGCGCAACTCGCAACTTCATCAGCTAGTCCTGCATGACTCGGGCTGGCCTTGGCGCACAAGTGCGGAGGAAGTCACATCCGACGACGGTCGCTCTTGCCGACGGTAAGACGAAACAGCTTTTAGACCGATACATCTCGACTGTCCCGGTGTACTTTGCACCGCACGCATGTGAACCCGTCACTTTTGACGTGTTGGACACCGACTTCGATGTCATTTTGGGGATGCCTTGGCTTTCTAGCGCGGACCACACGGTCAATTTCCATCGACGCATGCTCACGATTCGTGATGCAACTGGCTCCGAGGTCTCGTGTACTATTCCTCCTCCTCGCTCTTCCATTAGGTGCCAAGTCGTGAGTGCCAAATCTTTTCGAGACACGTGCCGTTCCGAGCATGTCGTAGAGATTGGCATCGCTTTGCTTCGAACCGTCCCGACGACCGATTCATCGTCCACAGAAGTGTCTTCCGACCCCCGTGTGACCCGGTTGTTAGACGAGTTCTCGGATGTTTTTGAGACACCCTCCG